TGGCTGAGGTATCCTTCCCTGTTAACTAGCTTCACCATGACATGTTGAAATAAAATGTGGATCTTTCTTTGTAAGATGCTATGTGAAGGGTATCTGTGTCCAGTGTCTGCAGCACCATGCCCTTGGGCACTTGAACTAAAGAATTTTGAGGTGAATGTTACGAACTGAGTGCTAGCCCTTTAAAATTCCTCTGTGGCAGCCCCCTATGACTATATCAGGAGACCAGCGTTAGGGAGGTAGTTAAAGTGAAATGAGCTTGGTCATAAAGGGGAATTCTAGTGAGAGAGGTATGGAGTCCTCATAGAGGAGGAAGCCTGGGGAGCTCTCTGTCCGTACACAGGTGCAAGGCCAAGGGAGGACTCGGAAGGCAGGTGGTGTTTGCAAGCAAAGGAGAGTCCCCAGCAGAAATCAAATGTGCCATGACCTTGATCATGACCTCTACCCTGCACAATGTCTGCTGTCTGAGCCACCTGCCTGGAGTGTGGTTATTTTGTTGCAGTGGTTCAAGAGCACTAACACAATGAGAAAGACTCAGAGGCCATGGTACAGTCAGCACGGACACCCAGAATGTGTCGGGGCATGCATCTGGCACTTGAGTGCACTATGGGAATTTGGGGAAGTATAGCTTTGGTTTCAGGGATGGGAGCCAAAGGCCAGAGCCCCTCAAGGTGGGGACAGTCCTACATAAAACAGTGTGGGGGTGAACTAGTAACCAGCCCATGTTTTGTCATCTGCTGCCACCCGCTCTGTGATTGGACCAGGCAGCTGTTGAGTTCAGACTTGGACACTGAGAGGTAGAATGCAAGTCTTCCCTGAGCGCCCATGTTGGTGAAGGAGTCTGCACCTAGCTTGAGGCCTTCCCGCTGCTTGTGTGTTTTGAAACCTCGGTGCTGGAAATTTAGTCTGAAAAGGGTTATAGCCATTGATGCTCCCAGCCCTAGGCACAGGCAAAAATAAACTTCTTCTGAAAGAAAAACAAAAAAAGAACTTCTCCCCAGGTCTCAACTAATTCCCAAAGTTTACTATCCTAGTTATATAGTCAAAAGTTACAAAGCACAGGTGGAAACATGGTTGTGGGAGCCATGTGAGGTGAATACAGACCCCAGAATCACATTTACAGACTTCAAATTAACAGACACAGAATACAGAATAGACAGGGTGCAAAAAAGTATCCAAGAAGGCTCTACACATACAGGACAGAGTAAGAGACCAAGAATTACAACCAAGGACGCTTCAAAAAGGATCAAACAAGACTTTAGAAGTGAAAGTTGTTTAAAACAAAGTCCAGTGAGTGAATTTAACAGAATTAGACATGGCTAAGAAGAAAATAAGTGAACAGGAGAGAGAAAATATGAATTGAAGAAACAGAGGTAAAGCAAGACCAGCAACTCTTCTTAGACTTCCAGACAGAGAAGGGAGGGAATAGAGGACAAGCAGCAGTGAGAAAGATCATGGCTGACCACTCCCTAAGTAGATGAGTGGCACACCCCACAGATTCAAGACACCTAATGAACTTGCACAGCACAGGCACAGAAATACCCACATCCTGGCACATGTCAGTGAAAACGTAGACTGCCAAGAACAAGGAGGAAATCTTAAGGTTGGCAGAAGGACATCATGCAAAGAAGTGACAACAAACAGACGGTGACAGCTGAAGCTAGAAGACACCGGAAGGCAAATGCACGTGTAGAGAAATGTGGATATCCACCGAGACTCAAACGCCTGGGAAAAATTAGTGTTCGTCCAAGAACAGAGAAAAGAGGCCTCTTAAGTTAAAAGAGAACTAAGAAAGTTTGCCATCAACAGGAAAACGAATTCAAAAGCATAGACTTGGAACAGAAAGAAGAAATCCCACAGAAGGACTGAGATGCAGGAAGCGATGGGAAATCAGGAAGTGGTGAATACACAGGAGAACTCAAACGAGCGCTGGCTTGTCTGCAGGTACAGTGGGATCTGTGTGAGGGGGTGAGCTCTAGTGGGAAATTCAAGCCTTGGTGTTTTAAGTTCCCCGACTTTTCAGGAGGAACGTAACATAAGATTAGCACAGAACTTTAGACTTTATTAAGTATGCATAAATTAGAGTATTTAGGCTAATTCTAGAAGAATGGATGTAACAGTATGATTTAAACAGTCTGAATTCTCTAGGTAAAAGACCATTAGTCTGTATTTTAAGAAATCAAGTGAACGCACAAAATACACACAAAATGTAACAAAGTAGAAGGTAGCAGCAACAGAAAAGATTCGACAGCGACCAAAAGAAACTTGATCTAATATCTGGGGTGAGGGGAGGAGACAGGGAGAGCTTTAAGGCAACAAAAAAATTATCATAGGTAAAGAGAGTTGTTACATTATTCTTTTGAAATAGTTGACTTACCAGAGAAATATGTAATTTTCAACTCGTATGCTTTAATAACAGTCTCAAAATACATGACACAAAAATTGACAGAATTTCAAAGAAAAATAGACACACCCACTTATCACAGTGGGAGATTTTAATATTCTTCTCTCTGTAGAGAATTAAGAAGGCAAAAAATCCATTAAGATATGAAAAAATAAGCATAATCAATAAGTTTGATGTGATGGACGTACTGGAACACAGAAACTGCAAAATGCGACATTTATTTTTTCCAAGCATCTATAGAACGAATGTGAATAAATGAACATTTCTGATCCAAAAAGTCCATCTCAATCAATTTCAAGTGATTCAAATACAGGCATTGTTCTCTAAAGATAAACTTTATAATCAGTAATAAAAAGGAAAGCATTGTTTCAAATTTCATACATACTTTTAAATAACATGATTAAAAGATGAAACAATAATGAGAATTAGAAAATATTCAGAAGAGGGCTAGAGGTGCATCTCAGTGGGACAGCTCTTGCCTAGCAGGTGTGAGACCCTGGGCTCATTCCCCAGGACCCTAACCAAAAATAATTGTCAGAGGTAAAGTAAAATATAAATGCTGCATATAAAAATCTGCAGGCATACTTAAAGAAATCCTCAGAGGGAGATTTATAGTTTTTGATGCTGAAATAAGGTTGAAAAATGATGAACTAAGCGGGAAAGATAAAATCTTAGGGTAAAAAAAAAAAGCTTATAGCCAAATAGAGAGAAGGAAGGAGTGAAAAAGAACAGAAATGGATCAAAGAGAAAACAAATATATTAAAGGGAGCAGTAACAAAACCAGGAGTGGTTCTTTGAAAAGACTAGCAAATTTGAAACTTGAGAGGATATTAAGTTTAAAAGATATAAATTTGAAAGGGAATAGAAACAGAATATTAGCAGATGTACTATGAGTTAGTGTATATAATTTCACACCTTTGAAAATTTAGCTAAGTGGACTCAAGGCAAAAATAGATGACCTAAATTATTCTTTGGTCATTATAGGTATTAAGTCTGTAGTCTAAAATCTTCCCACAATCACAACACCAGACCCAGATCTGAAAAATACTACCAAACTTTCAAGTCAAAAGTGATTGGAATTTTCTACTGACGATCCCAAGAGATAGAAAAAAACCAAACCAAGCCAAACCAACCAAAATCCCAAAGCAGCAGCACTTCCTAAACCATTTTATGAAGCCAGAATTTTCTCTAGCAGGGGAAACATAAAAGAACCACCCTAACAAAGTAGAAACAAACTATTAAATAAGATGCTAGCAAGTCCAAAACAGCCATGTGTAAGTGTCAACACCAAAGGACCAATACATGACCTAAGATGTAACACTGGCAACATTAGGAAAGTGAACAAATACAATCCATGACCCAATGAGAATCAAGGGGCAAAACAACTGTATCAACAGCCGTGGAAAGGTATCTGATAAAATCCAATGTCCATTCTCAGTACAGTCTCTCGGTGAACTAGGACGAGAAAGGCACTTCCCTAAGCCCCAAAGGAGATTCTCTAGACTAAAAATAAACAAACTTCAGAAAATATCACATGAAATGGTGAGGAAAAACAACTCTACTTAACATCAAACAACACAAGGGCATCCGCCACCATCATAAAAGATTTACTGACTGGAAAAGCAGATAGGGAACCATCATTCTTTGCAGATGATGACTCTCTGTGTAGATAAAGTCACAGTAATAACGGATAAATCACTGCAAGATATTATATATACAGATATACATATATATATACATACACACATGCATATGTACAAAAATCAATTGCATTTCTGGATGTCATCAAGAAGCAGGTAGAAGATACAATTTTGAAAGATATGATTTATAATAGCAATAAGATATATGATGTTTAGGAATAAATATATCAAGAAATGAGTAAGATCTGTAATGGCGGCAAGGGTACAGGTTTATTGCAAGCTGTTAAAGAAACCTTAAGCAATTGGAGAAGCGTACCGTACTCATGGACCCAAGGATCAGTATCAACCAGAGCTCACACAGAATTAAACAAGTTCAGACAGTTTGTCTGGATCCTGGTAACATAGTTGCAATATTTTAAAGATAGAATAAAAGACACTGAAAATTAAGAAAAAACAAAACACTAATAGGAAATGAATGCATAAAAGATGTGTTTGACAGAGTAAAACTACATACACCATAGATAGATGGTGAGGGAAATTGATGGAGAATGCAGCCCAAACAACAAGATTATGTTTCTATGAAGTTCAAATGCTGGCTTATGAAAAAGTCCACCCTAGGGAGCCACACTGAAATATAAAGACAAGAAAACGAAAAACTGAGGCTGTGGCTGTCTCTGAGGATGCAGGATAGGACTGTTGGCGGTCCAGCTGGTTCCACTAAGGTAGCTGATTTCCTTCTTTGCTTTTGCTTATGCTGTGAGAAAGCCATACTGTGTTTCTGACATTTTTATATTTCATAAATATCTTTTTATTTATTCAATACCTAACATAGACAAATGAAACCTCTCTGTAGAGAAGCTTACTACCACGAGGCTCTGAGTTTGTAATCTCTTGTAGGCCAACCCTCTGTAACCTGTGTTCACCCACAGGACCCTGTTCCCTCACTCTGGGAGGCTTACCTTGGCAGGGTTGAGTGCTGTGATGATCCACACACAGTGTGCATTGTTGTCATACTGAATGGGGAAATTGGGAGAGGTGATGATGCCCGAGGGGCCTCGGAGGTGGGCATCACACATGCGGGCTGCAGAGAGGAGATAAGACAGGCGTTTAGACAAGGTACACTTCTTCTTATGTCCCATGCCTAGCCCAGAAGAGACTATCTGAACAGTCTCCAACCATAGGCTTCCTGCTCCCTGAACCAATCCCTACATTTCCCAGCAGCCTCAGTGGGAAGCCTCAGTGTCTGGAGTGCTGTCCTGTCCTGTCCTACTGACCTATGGGCAATGGTGAATTTCCAAGGCAGGCTGAGCATTCCCCGGAAGCCTCCTCCTCCCCGCCACTGAAATAAGGCGGCAGCTCAGCTTCTCCAGGAGTATGTACACTGGGACTCGGTGGGTCACAGGCACCTAAGGACCCACCACGCAGCCTGCCTTATGCCCTGCTCACCTGCCTGTTTTCCTAAACCTGCTGCACGCTGCTCTGGACCCAACCTGCTTTCAGTCTAGTCAACCCTCAGTCTCTCCCTCCACCACCTTGCAGGCTTCCTGAAGTAGGATCTCAGAATGTTCTAGTCAAGACCACCTTTACTGGGTCTCGGAATGCCTGTGTCCAAGAACTCTGCGAAAGCTCCTGACTTAGCCGAGCACTGGGCACCCAGAGAGATTGCAGAGCCAATGTGATGTTTCTTGCATCCCTTTCCACACTCAGCCCAGGCCTGGAACAGGCTTTTGACTGGAAGCATAAAGATTCAAGGTGAATTAGAAGAAATACTCTCCTCAAGTAGATATAAAGTGTTATCAATCACGGCTTAATCTAATTAAGCTCTTTAAAATAGCTTCTCAACTAATTAGATTAAGGAATGATTGATCTCAGTTAGGGCTCCACATTGGGTCTAGGTGTTTGCTTCCTTTTAAAAACATGTGTTCAGAGTCCTGGCCACCTCATTCCTCAACATTAGCACGCAGCTATTTTATTTAATAAAGGGCTCCGTGAGCCGGCTCTGTCGTTGCCCACATGGCAATTTATCCCAATTGCAGGCCGGGCGCCTAACAGTAAAGACCAAGTGCGCAAGCTCAATAGGCCTAAGCATGTGAAATGGACGTCCTGTCAGACCTGATTTCCAATGATGAGCCCAAATTTCCCGGAGCTCGTCTCTGTGTGGGGACAGGCATGACAAACCTTCCCTAGAAGTCCTTCCCATGGTCTAGGAAGCAGGCTCCATAGCTCCCAGGAGTGATGAGTTGCTCCTCGCGGCCTGCACTGATTCCCATGCTCATTCATCCCAGCATTTATTAATCACCTATTCCAGGACACGCCGAGTGTGGGCTGAGGAAAACGGGAGCGAGGGCCCAACTCCCCCAAGTGCCACAGTCAGAGCAGGAGACAGAGACACGAACCTTCACACCTGAGCAGTGTGGATTATGTTGGAGGGCTATTTGTGAGGGGCTCTGGGTCGACACTGCTCCCTCCGGGGGATGATGGTTCTGGTGGCTAACGCTTGTTCTGCACTTGGAAAAATTGTCTTTGCTCCATCCTGGGCTCCAATACTGACTGGATTGAGTTCATTTGTGTGTGTGTGTGTGTGTGTGTGTGTGTGCATGTGCGCAGTGTATATGTGCAGGCTGCATGTGAAGGTGTTCAAATATGTATGTGTGTGTGTGTGTCCCAGAGGGCCACACTGGGTACCTAATCTGTTGCTGTTCCACATTATTTTTGGAGACAGGGTCTGTCATTGAACCTGGAGCTCATTGGTTGGTCTAGGCTGGCTGGAGAAAACCCCCAGAAGCCCCTGTCTCTGTCTCCCCACAGCTGGGATTACAGGCATTCACTGCCACACTTAGCTTTTATATGGCAGATGGGGATTTGAACTCAGATCCTCATGCTTGCAAAATGAACACCTTATCCATTGAGCCACCGCCCCAAACCTTGAATTGGGTTTTGAACCCCATTGTCCTCATGTGCATCCCGATTTCCCTCTCCTACTGTGTTGTGAGAAACTGATTCACAGATCACCCTCAGAGAGGGGAGGGTGGCATGGTTGGGGCAGGCAAGTTGTGGGTGCTTACCAACTTAGCAGTGTGGTTCTAAATCTATTTGCTGGCTGTTTAAGCCCGGGGGCGGTAGAAACCTCTCCGCTTCTGCTTTCTGTCTGTCAAATGGGGTGAGCAATAGTACCTCATTGAGTTCTGGTGAGAGCGTAATTACACCCGATGACAGATGGGAAGACGGCCCAGTGCCCAGGACACTGTCAGTGTTCAACAAAGGAGACTTGTTGCATTTTTTTCTATATCCAAGATGTCTTTCTAGGTTAAGAAGCTTTTTTCTGTCTTTGATTTCTTATGTGTGTGCATATGCTTGGGTGTGTGTTCATATGTGTGTGCAGAAGCACATGCATGTGTGTGTGGATATGTGTAGATGCCAGAGGTATTTACTTTTTGAGATAGACCTCTCTTTGAATCAAGGGCTCACCAATGCTGCTGGGCTGGCTGGCCAGCAAGTCCAAGGACCTACTGTCCCTGCCCCTCTCCTGCTGAGATCACAGGTGCACGCTACTGCACCTGGCTTTTATCTGAATTCTGGGGAGAGGGAACTGAACTCAGGTCCTCGTGCTTGTACGGAAAGCATTTACCGAGTCACTTTCCCATCCCTCTATAGGCTTTTTCCTCTGACTACATTTGAGACTGACATTACTAACCAACTTAGAATAGTCATGACTCCATTCCACCTTTTCAAACAGGACCCGGGGATTCAGAACTCTAGACCTGCACAGCATCCTTACAAAACTCCCCCAGCAGCATCTTCTATGTCTTCTGGAAAATCTGATTTTGCTGCCAAAAGACTCAATTTATCTTGTATCCTTGTTTCCAAGAATTAGATGGTATTTGCAGTCTGTTAAAATATGCTGAAGGTAATTAGAAAGAATAGGTCAAAAAAGCATTTTCCACTTTAAGGGTTTGGAGGGGTTTAATTAAAATATTACAATCTGCAGATAGTTAGCACGGAGTACCTTAAGACAGGTTCCAGATGGAGTATTAGCTACGTTTTCTGACTGTTGTCTGGGCAAGGTCAGGGGTACTGCAGACAGACATACTCCTAAGCAGCCAGCTCCCAGGATCCCACTAGCAGATGAAAGGCTCCTCACTGTGACCCAGATGGGATGGTCAAATGTCAGATTCCAGACAGCGTCTGATGCAGTGAGTGAATGTATCTTCCTGTTTCTCTCTTTGGCATTTCCTATCAAGCCTCTTCTGGAGAGACTTCTCCCAGAACTCCCAGGTCTCCCATTCTTCCTCAAGACATCGGTGTACTATATGGTGGGGACAGTATCCTAGGAGACCATGCAGGGACACCACCTGGACCCACAGCTGGTTTTAGCTTTGGAGCACGTGGCCCCAAAGCAGGGAACCACTTCGAGTGCCCTGTAGAGCTCCCCTAGTTTGATTCCTGCTCTGATCCAGGCTGCCTGCTCTTGCCTGTCCTGTTACTAATCCCTCCTGCCCTGTGCCCAGCTCCCTGGAACTATCTCCCACCTCTTACTCTTTTCTTTAAATTTTTTTTTTTTTTAAAAAAAACAAGGTCTTGCTGTATAGCCTAGGCTAACCTGGAACTTTTGATTCTTCAGCCTTAGCCTCTCCAGTGTTAGAATTACAGGTGTGCACTGTCACATCTGACCTGCCATTACCCATTTTAAGGTCAACAAACTCCAGAGCCCCCTGCCTTAACAGAAGCCCATCTTCTCTCCTCAGTTCTGTGCCCCCTGACACTCTGTGATGAAGATCTTGTCCCCTCCACCAGCATTTCTATTGACACGTTTGCTAAACCCCAGAATTAAAATAGGACCTACAGAGACTCCCAGTATGACCACACCGATATTTTCTTTGGACTCATCCGCCCCTGTCTGTTTTTCCTTCCATCCCATCCTCGGTGAAGACTTCATGATCCACTACTATGGTCATTTTCTTCCAAATCCTAAGTCCCTCTGCTCGCCTCTCTAATCAGTTGCCTGGGAGACATCAATCGTGGATGAACCCTTCCTCCAACATTTTCCCATCCCTGTCACATAGCTGTGCTTTGATTGAAAAAAATCACATGGGAAAGGAGAGCGATGTCACTGTAAATTCATTACCCACCTCAAACTTCCTGGGCATTCCCCAGCAACCCTCTGCTGAGTGCTATCAGCTCACCCGCTCCTTCTGCTCAGAGACTCTTTCATGCCTCCCACATGCCCCTCAGACATGTCCTCCCTCCACTTCCCACTCTATCACAGAGATGGCCCCTTCTCATGGGATCTAGACCACTGCTTTCTCTCCATCCCAGGAGCAGCCACATCTATGACTTCACACAGGCTTTGCTGTCCTTGATCCAGGAGGTCCAGCTCTCAGGACTCAAATTCAACCTCCCATCCCCTCCCACCTCTGCTCCCAGCAGGGTCACTTTCATTCTCAAATGTCCCCTTGTCCCATCCATGGTCCTTCACCCTCATCTAATGGCTTCCTCCTGATCCTGCTTTTTTTGTTGCCCAATCTGAACCTCAAGACCATTCACTAATCATTTCTGCTCCCTCCACACCTCATAGCTGCTCGATGAAAAGTCTGCGATGAACACAGGCCACAGTGTAGAGAGTAAGAGACTGCAGAGTGCATGTGCCTGGATAGGACTCCTATATCAGACCTCACTCACTCAGAGCTCAGGGACCAATACAGAAGAGGGGCCAGAAAGATTGTAGGAGCCAGGCATGGTGGATGAACACAAGGAAACAGTTTTCCAGGCTTGTGGGAACTTGCTCACATGAACTTACAGTAATGGTGACAGCATGCACAAGATCCATGCAAACTCAAAAAACTCAGCATAGAACTGGAGAAATGGGCAGGAGGTCCAAACCTTAGCTGAGGAACTATTGGCAGCTGCTCACTGCTGGGTGAGAGTTGTTCTTCAAGGGAGTGATGCTAGATAGGCTGATCAGGCTCCAATGGATGAACTTACACTGAGGGACATCTGGGGACACAAACTTGACTTGATAGACCTTAATATATATGACAGAATGAATGTAATCTGGTGGGGATTCTATGGAGGGGGTAAGATAAGGGAGGGGGTCTAAATATGATTAATATGTATTATATGAAACGCATAAAAATTCAATAAAATGATATACTGGAAACAAGCTTGCCTTTGTTCAATTCTCCCATCTGCTTTTCTATTTCTAATTCCAGAGCCCAGTGGTCACCAGGGCAACAGAGGCCACACCGTAGGTCAAGGTTTGCCAAAAAAAACTGAAGCTTTAGTCGTAGCCAATCTTCTCTCCCTGGTCCTCCTTTGGTTCCCTCACAGATTCTCTGCAAAAAACCTCAGGTTGAGCTGAGTCATTCAGCCCCACCGGTGACTTACCCCTGATCTTCTGGAGTACCCAACCCCACTGAACCATCTCTGCCTGAGAAGCAACACACATGCCTGGCTTCTCTCTATTCCTCTGGCTCTGTTTCCTTCATTCTGTTTCCTTCTTCTCCATTTCCTCCTTCAGAACATTCACATAAATCTAAGTAAATGAGTATGCAGGACTTCTCTGAACATTAATTGCAATTTTTCTACACATTTGGAATTATATCAAAATAAAGTTACCAATGTGGGGTGGGGCTGCAAGGGGCTGCTCTTCTGGGTTTCTCCCAGCATTCTGAATCCGAGGGACGTCCAGGTGCAGTTTTCAAGTGGTCCAGAGCCTCAACTGAAAGGGCTCAACTGATTGGCTTTGTGCCCTTGGGCAACTTGGTCAACCACTCGAAGCTTCAGCTCAACATGAAATATGGTTATTGCCACTTTTCTCATAAAGAAAAGATGAAAAATGCCTAGTGCAATGGCTGTGGACATCTACAGCAGAGACCAGGGAGGGGAGGGCAGGGGAGAGGAGAGGGGAGGGGGCAGGGAGGAG